GAACCACTCTTCCCCTATTATTTCTTGTAATGTATGGCATCCCTCGCCATTGATTGTTTTTACTAGTCTGTGTGTGACATTTTCTTTGACTTTGAATTTTTGTTTCTTCAGCAGGATGAGACATCATCCCATAAGGCTTTTATTCTCATCCGGGATTACGTTTGGATTTGTTAAAATACTTTTTGTGGTCCATGCCTGATTTTGTGTTTGTTGCAGCCGTCCTCTTGTGATTGCTCCACAAATGTTTGTTTTGTTGAGTTCTTTCAGTATTCGTTTGGCATGTAGTTGGACTTGTCTTTCCTGAATGCTGAAGATTTTGTATCCAAAGTCTGCGTGTATACCACTGTTTATCGCTGTGATTGGGAGTTTGTTTTTATGTTTAAATGATGCGTGGATCATGCTATCTGTTTTCTTGTATACATGTTCTGACATAACTGTGTCTTGTAGAAGATATTCTATTGCTGGAAATAGTACATGGTTAATGATGTATCTGTGTTGTTTATCTGTGATCTGGCTTCTGTTAAGTGCTTGTGTTGTGATTTGTACTTTTCGTTTGATAAGGTTCAATTGATGTGTTTTGTTTCCAGTGGCTGTAATCCATATTCCCAATATCCGGGTGGCTTCCTTTTTCCCTTTCTGATGTATTTTGAATTTTTCCATTTTGATTGCTTTTTTTGTTGTTGGGTTAATTGTAACGAGAGCTGCTTTGTCTGGGTTTATTGTTAGATTAGCGATTTTGGCAAAGCTTTCCACAGTATTGATAATTTTTTGCATGTTTTTCCAACTCTTTGTGATCCAACAGGTGTCATCCATATATATAATCGATGCTATACTTTCGTATTTTGTATTCCATTTGCATGGTTTTTTTGTTGGAGTTTTGAGTTCAAATTTGTAACCCAATTTGGATTCCTCGATCTTACAAATAAGGAGGTCATAATATATCCTCCATAAGAGTGGGGAGATGGTATCTCCTTGGTCTATTCCGATTCCTGGTTTGTATGGTTTGGTCAGACCATGGCACGTGATTACTTGATTGTTGCGATTCTCTAGCATGTTTGTAATTATTATTATGATTTTGCTAGGTATCTTGATTCTCTTGAGTGCTTTTTCCAGTAGGTCATGTTGCATCGAGTCATATGCTTTGCTTATGTCTTGGCTGAGGATCCAACATTCTTTTTTCCCTTCTCTGGCTTCCTCTAGTATGTTGTTGATTATGCTTATTGGTTCTTGTGTACCTCCTTCTGGTAGTCCTGCCCAGTTTCTGTCCGATAGTATTTTATGTTCCAGGAATGCTTTTGCTAGCCTGTTGTTAATGATTTTAGTAAATACTTTTTTAATTGTTTCGAGCAGTGTAATAGGTCTTGTCCAATTAAGCTGATGCTGCCAGTCTGTTTTCTTCGGGATGGGATATATAATGTTGTGTTGCCATCGTCGTGATATTTCTCCTGTGACTAAGATTTTGTTAAAAACCTTTGTTATTCTGTTGATTGCCTTTCCGCCTAGTTTCTTTAGCATTGGGTAGCTTACTCCTGATTTTCCTGGTGCTGAGTCATTTGACATCTTATTGATAACTCCTTTTACTTCTTCTGTCGTAATTGTAACAGTTGTTTCTTGGTACCATGAGCTCATAATTGTATCTTTTGGTCAGTATTCTTGTTCCCATCTTCTCCACTCTTGATATTCTATCTCTTTCTCTCTTGATTTTTCCTGTTAATAATGTTTTTCCACCATATCTAAGATCTCTTTTGGTTCTGTTATAACTGTGAGCTCCAGAGTTATGGTTATGAGCTTATTCATCATGATGCTGTAGGTTGATTTGTTAAGGATTGAGTTGATCATTTTCCGTTTGTTGTCTGAGAAGTTAGATATTCTATTTTCTATCTGTTTTTTAATTTTTTCCCTCAAGTTGTTGCGGTCATTTTCTTTCAGAGAGTTTTTAGTTATTGTGTATGTCTGCTTTATTTTCTTGATCCAATCTTTTACCTTCTCAGATCTGGGATTTGTCTCCTCCCAGGGAGGGTTTTCTATGTATTGTTCTGTTGAGTTTATTTCTTTCAGCACCTTTATGATGTTGTCTTGGATATTAGTTGTTCTTTTGTTGAGCATAAAGAATTGTCTGGACCATGTGTTGAGTTTCCTTAATTTGGTGATTTGTGCATGTTTGTTGCATCCTTGTCTGTAAGGAGCTTCTTTAGGTCTCTGTCTTATTTTCCGGATGTTTTTATGCATTGCCTTATATATCACATCCCATGTTAGATTTCATGTTTTATTTGCTGAATATGTTTCGAGGTGTTGTTTTTGGTCTTGTTCTGTAATGGCGTCTTCCACTTGCTGTTTGTAGTTTTTCTATTGTTTGGCTGTAGTGTTTTTGGTGTCGAATATGTTGTGTCTTTTGTGATTGTACTTTTGTTTCGATTGGGTTATTATTTCAGTAATCTCAATCTTACATGTGGCAATATCGTGGTCACTGTTGGTTAACATGTTGGATGACTCTATTTCTGTGTCGATAAGATTCCAGCTTTCGTTTGGTGATATCCATATGTAGTCGATTCTGGTCTGTGTTGTGCGCATGTTGGTCCAGGTGAAGCGTGTTCTGTTTGGCCATACTTCTCTGAAGGTATCTATATGGTTAAGTTGGGTAAGTGTTTGTATTGTGTGTGATGTTGGTGTTCGATTGTTTCCTGGTGGTCTCTTGTCGATGCTGGGGTTATGTAGAGCGTTAAAGTCCTCTGCGGTAATTATGTGCCAATTCTTGTTGTGTCTTGTCCATATTTTATCTTGTATCCATTTTGCCGCTGGGCGGTAGTCTGGATTTCCTTTGCATGGCATGTATACTCCAATTATACTAATATGTTTGTTTCCTTTGTAATTTAGATCTATACATATGCCTCTTCCTGGGTATGTCTGGATATTTCCTATGTGATTTGCAATGTCCTCCTTGATTATAATCATAATACTACCTCCTTTTCTGTCGTTGCACCAGGTAGTGTGGTATCCATGCATTTTCCAGTGTTTGGATTTGTCTGTCATGATCTGTGTTTCTATAATAATTCCAATATCTATTCTCTCTTCTTTGCAGAATGTTAACCAGATTTCTCTTTTGGTGATGTCGTTGAATCCGCGGACATTATGTGTTGCGATCTTCCATATCTTCCATGGTTTTAGTTCTGGTCTGTCTTGATTGGGATCGTTGTGTTCGTTTGTTTGTAGGTGGGTCTGGTGTATTCGAAATTGTTGTGATGCTGTGTGATCGGTTTGTTCTCTTGGATTTCCCTTGATTGTTTATTCTTTGGTTTCTTCTGTTGTTTGTGTTTCATTGTTTAGGTGTCTGTCGATTGAGTTGTAAAAATTTGAAAAATTAGAGGTAATTTCTTGTGCATTTATGCTGATGGTTTGATTGTTCTCCATTAATAGTTGTTTGTGGTGTTGTTTGTATCTCCTGAAATAAGATTGTGAATCGTATTCATAAGGTTGTTCATGGTTTGGTTGGTGTTTTGAATAGTTACGTGTATTTGCTTCTGTTGTGTTTGTATATCTTGAATTGTGCTTTCGTATGTGTTTTGTTGTTCATTATTTTTGCTATCTTGACCTTCTGTGGATTCTGTTTCCTCCATTGCTCCCACGCCATCCTCGTCATAGTATTCTAGGTTTGTGATTCTTTTGTCCATCTCTATGATCTGCTGTTTAATTTCTGTTATATCTTCTTGTAATTGTTTGAGAATATGTAATACTTTTTGTAACCCAGATGGATTTGTCATTTCGTTCTGTGGTTTTTGGGTTGCACATGCTGCAGCGGCATATGACCCTGGTTTACCTTCTCTTCTTTGCTGTTTCATTGGAGTGTGTTTCCTAATATCACTGGTTTTTGCTGGTTTGTATTTCTCATAGAGTTTTTCGAACTTTAATGCTTGTTTCTGATTGTATGTGTTCCATTGGTTTCTTCTTTCTTTGATAGGGCTTGTGGCAGCCAAATGTGTGTCGTTGTCACATATGGCACATAATTTGGTGTCTATATTTGTCCATTTTAGATAGGTTTCACCGATTGTGTATGTTTCATTGATTGCGCTCTGTAAATCCTCCACTGTATCGAAACTGATGACTGCAAATCTTTTCCTTTGATATGTTTCTCGGCGTGGGATGTAGCATGTTTTTGCCTTTGTTAGCTGTAGTATAGTACGTAGATCAAATGCTGTTGTGTTTGGGATAAGTTTGTAAGCTTAACTGTGATTATACATGTGGTGGAATTGAATTCAGACATTTTTCAAAAACCGTATTATGGTAGAATTACTAAGTAACATATAGTAAATAATTGGAATTCGTATTTAATTCGGAATCGTATTGTCGATCAAATTTCCTTTTATGGTAATACGACCACATGTATGACTGTGATTTGTCCTCTCTGTTTCATCTGTGGAAGATCCCATTGTGCATCAAAAACCCGCACCATGTCTGCCTTGAATGGGACGCTCCACATGTTGATAATCTGATCCTTGCTTGTCTTGTCCTCAAAGGTGATAGTTGCAGTTTGCCACATCTGCTGTGTGCTCATCACAATTCCTATAATTTGTCCATACTTGGTGAAAGTTTGTTGCACTTTGATATATCTGGCATCCAGGGGAATATCCCATACCCTGATACTGTTTTTCTTTTTTGTGCTCAAGTCGATCATTGGCATGTGTTGTAGGTACTTGTCTTCCGTATTGGGTAACTTGATACTACATGCGTGTTCTGCAGTTTGATAATCATCAAAAATGGCTATGATTTTCTCTTGGTCATTTTTGCCTTCACTACGGATAGCAAGAAGTCCTTCGGGACATTCAAGTGCTTTGGTTAAGTATTGAATTTTTTGGCTTGTATTTTTCCCTGGAATCCTGTTGGCATCGATTCCTACTTTGCTTCTTTGTCTACCGTATCTGCTGTTTCTATCGAAAGGGGAGCGTGGTCTGGGTTTGTTCCATTGTTGCAACGGTTGTTTGCCTTTACCTTTGCTATATGTTGACCATTGCTCTTCTTCTCCTGTCTTGCTTTTCCAATTGTTGTTGTCTGTCTCCATTCCTTCCATCTCCGCATCGGAGTCATCAATTCTGATGTATTTGTGTGCCTCTTGCTAGGTTCTATTCATTTGTGTAGATGTTTCTGCCACCACTCTTTCTACCTCATCGCTCCATAGTTCCTGGATCTTTTCCTCGTGGGTTGCCTTCTTGGGTTTTTGATGTGTTGGGGTTGATGCGGTTGTCTCCAGGGTGGCTGTTTTCATTGTACTGTCTTTGGGTGCTTCGGTCACTTCATTTTTCTGTTGTTGTTTCTTTGCTAGTTTTGGTACTGTGTATGGG